AGATAGATAGATAGATAGATAGATAGATAGATAGATAGATAGATAGAGATAGATAGATAATGCCTATTTTGATCAGTGACCAGATAAATAAAGGAGAGGTCAGGCAAAGTCATTTTCCGAAAGATTAAATCAAGGTCTGAATCTTAGTGGCAGCTTCTCAGAAGCCTCCTAGAAAAATTTGTAGACAACAAATGGACAGTTGTGTTAGATACAGAGTTGTGCAGTGGAGAGAATTTAGGACTAAGAAAAGAAGAAAGCTTAGGAAAATGTTTTGCTGGGCCATTGGGTAACCTGGAGCTCAGCCACTCCACCTCCGTAGAGAGTAAGGCAATGGAGAGATGCAAGCCCTGTTGCCAAAGCAACCAGGGGTAAAACATCTTTTTGGTCCACAACTGTGAAATAGCGTTTGGAAGTGCATTGGACAGATCCTACCCTAATTTGGAGGAGGAGGAGGAGGAGGAAATGTTCAGTTACTTATAACTGGTTATAACTGGCTATATGGTTGGGTTGAGGGGAAGGAGGGGATTAAGAAAGGGGCGGCTGGATGGAGCCGATACCCTGGCAAAGAGCAAAGTTGAAATGTTGAAAGGACAAAGCAGCAGATGGCGCAGTGGAAGGTCGCCAAGGAGAGACAAGTAGAGGTAGAATGGATGGGACGATGGGAATTAGCTGAATTAGCTGTGTTTCTTTTCCCTTCTCTTTTGTGTCTTCAATTGCTTTGGCCCAGATATATTTCATTCTTTCCTGGGCTTTGCCCATCCAAAGGACTTGTGTGATGGGTACGTCTCTACGGAAGCCCTCCTAAGCTTTGGACTTCCTCTCCAGCAGAGAGGGAATTAGAATTAGAATGAATGAGCTGGAAGGGACCTTGGAGGTCTTCTAGTCCAGCCCCCCCCCCCCCTTAAGGAGGAGAACTTATACCATTCCGGACAAGTGGCTGTCCAGTCTTGAAAACCTCCAGTGATGGAGCAGCCACAATTTCTGGAGGGAAGCTGTTCCACTGGTTAACTGTCCTCACTGTTAGGAATTTTCTCCTTAATTCCAGGTTGCTCCTCTCCCTGATTAGTTTCCATCTGTTGTTGGAAGCCCTGGTGGTTTTGCTGTTGTCTTGGTCTATAGCACTTAGGTAGCTGCGGAGCAATCTATTCACAATCCGAGGGCATCAGAGGAGAGAGGGACCTCGTAGGTGTAATCTAGCAGGCCAAAACTTTGCTTTCCAGCATCCCACCATCTTTTTAACAGATGCTTGACCGCAAGAAAAGCTGACCATCCCTACTAACACATTTAGTTGAGTGTACAAAGGCTGATTTGTTATCCAATCATTGTTTTAAACAGTTGGGAGCATCAAAGCCAACCATGCTACATTCTGAGGTGCCATCAAAACTCAACGGATTCAGCCACAGGCATGCAATCAGCTTGGCCGCCATTTTGTTTCGGTTCCGGTTTTAAAGAAAAGGGGGAAAAAAGATGCAGCTCTGACTGGGTTGGGTCCACCCCATGTCATCATGGCACCCAGTTTTCAAAGAAAGAGAAAAAGCAAGGTGTCAAATCAAGAGGCCCGGTTAACAATGAAAGACACCACAGCAAGAAAAGTCACAGACAACATCAAGAAACAAGCAGCCAAATATTCTCCCTGGGTTGATGCAGCAAGAGTCCAAAAAAATAATAATCTCAAATTAAAGAGAAGGAAAACAAATGAAATGGAGAACAAATAAATAAAAATTCCTTAAAGCAGACAGTTGAATTTTTTTAACCCTCCCACCACCACCACCCCCCAAAAAAATTCAATGAAACCAACCGTGTCCTATATGAGATGTTTTCATGGATGAATTGTGATTTGCAAGGATTTTTGAGTTTAGCATTATTATTTTTTTAAAAAAAGATATTTATTTTGGAGCAGGAGGCAGACAACAGACAGATGCAGACATGATGATTGTTTTTCGGGTTTTTTTGGTATGTTGATTGAATGGCATGATTCAGCAGGCAAAGGGAAAACACACACAAACACAGAACAGAAACAGAAAGGAGAGAAAATGAGTCATTGGATGTAGCAAAGAACCGAAAGACGAACGATCGTATTAGAGAGTGGGAGAATAAAAACCAGAGGTTTATAAAAAGAAGTGATTTTTTTTTTCTAACAATGAACAACCCTGGAAAGAAACACAGTGAGGCAAATTATTTGCATTTCACATTGTAATGCAAATTCATGGAGGTTTCGTAAGCACCTTGATTTGTCTTTTTTTTTAAATTCCCAGGCAAAGCAAAAAATGCCAGTTTCACAGTTTTCTGTTCAAAAAGGGAAAGTGAATTTAGCAACCCCCTTTAAGGGCCTTGCAAGATGAATCAGAAATTAGCAATAGCCACAGACTTATATGCCGCTTCACAGTGCTTACAGCGCTCTCTAAGTGGCTTTACAGAGTCAGCTTCTTGCCCCTAACAATCTGGGTCCTCATTTTACCCACCTCGGAAGGAGGGAAGGCTGAGTCAACCTGGAGCCTGGTGAGATTCAAACTGCCAAACTGCAGGCAGCCGGCAGTCAGCAGAAGTAGCCTGCAGTACTGCACTCTGACCACTGTGCTACCAAAAAACTAAAACTCCTATAAACTCAACGATGTCACTTGTATCATGTGCATTTAAAAAAAAAACCACTTCCATTTTTAATCCATCCATTCAAATCTTCCTGGTTGTCTGGTCTGACAATTAAGCTTATAACCTTAGCCATTGAAGTGGGGAAAATATCAGGTCTTCCCTGATGATGCAAGAGTTTATGTTTGTAAGCTGGGAAGAAAAACTGACATGGTTGTGTTTGCCTGCAGAAGTTTAAAAAAAAAATGACCACAGAGAGCAAGAAAGAGAAGAATTGGGAGCATTGGCCAAAGAAACCTGTACACCACATAGCGACAGAATCAAAGGAAAATGAAGTTCGTTTACGTGTTTTATTTACTCTTTATCCATTGGTTCTGTTGATGGCTAAACATCTCATAGGTGTAGAGGATAAAGGTCTAGAACCAGGTGGGAAAGGGGGAAAATATGGAGGAAGTCCCTACTTCTGGATTTCAGGGTGGGGGAAAAAATGCCCCACCCTCCAGAAGTTTCCTTTGATTAGCTCCTGTAGGAGAAGAGCAGACAGAGCTGGGAGGTGGAGTTAAACAGACCATTAGCTTAGAATTGTTGCGTTCCCACAAGCACTCTAAGCCCAACTCCTCCTGAATTCCCCACCATCCTTATCTGGTGCCAATTTAGCGTTGAACTTAAATCTTCTATGCTGCAACCTAACGGATGTTCTGATTCCTTGTGCCTGCTAGCTCCTTTTGAATTGCAGGGACCCACATCCAGGCAATCAAGAAGTCTGACACCAGGGCAAAGCTATGGATTAGCAGCTGGGATCTGCTCTGGATGACGGCTCTGTTAGGGAGGTCTGAAAAAGCTCCATTGAATTACTAGACATCTTATTACTGAAGTTGTGATTCCTTCCATTGACAGAAACCCCATAGCTCAGTCCAGAAAGCAAAAAGCAGAGATTCTGGTTGCAGTAAGATTTATAACCAAACCTGCCATGTGACTGAATCAAGTCATGACCTCCCTGTGGAATCCACACATTACATGAAACTTGATAGGGAGTGGCTCTGATTATCAAGCGACTCCATCTGGTCTGCTTACATTACAGGTCGGCATTGCACAAACTCAGAACATGAATTAATTCAGTAACCTCGGGCCACATCTTGCACGGATATAGCCAAGACCAAGCTGTCATTACACGGAGGGCAGAAGGAAGAAGCAACGATAATAAACCTCGGTGTCAAAGGCTGCTCACAGGGTCAGGGAGAAAAAAGCTAAATGAGATTTAAATTAATTCAAACCGTATCCAACCCATTGGATGTGATTAATGCAGCCGTTTGGTGACATTTGAGTCTTTCTCTCGTGTCAAACATTATAATCTGCAGAAGAGGCAGCAAGAATTATGGCTTTCGGGAAAGAATTTGCAAATATGGTTGACCACCCGAGCGGAATGATCTATTGCCACTGGATACCAGCAGAAACAAATTTGAGTATGTGGATATTTAATTAATTCTTTGGCATTGTACATAGTGTCCCTGTGAACAACCCTTTTCAGTTGTAAAAAATCGACTTACCATCCCTTGCCACCAACGCCTTAAAGTTTCCAAAAGATATACAAACTTGAACTTGAAAAGAGAAGAACCTTAGGACATAATTCAAGTTGTCCAAATATCCGCTCTCAAGTGTGGACTTGACGTGGATTGGGATGTATTTTCTTAGAAGCCTCTAAAGTGGCTCCAGAAAAGCTGGAGGTCAGTCATGAGACTTAGCCCAGAGTGGGAACCATGGTTTCCTTGCTTTCTCCCAACAAGGAGAAAGGCCAGAAGTCCCAACTTGGAGTCAGCTTGGAAAAAGAAACAAGAGAGTTCAAACAAGTCATCAAACCCCGATCTTCTTGTTTCTTCCTGGGAGCATGGGAACCCTGACACTTCAGAGGCTGCTGAAGACCCAGACATCCTGGCCAATGTTCAGTGTTCACGCTGTCCTCCTGGTTTCATTTAGAAACATCTGGAGGACAACGTGTTGCCCAACATCTAAAGTGATAGATGTTGACCATAATTAATAGTGCCAAGCATGACAGACCCAAAATCAGGAGCTCTGCAAAATCCCTTTGAAGTCACAAAAGGTCACAAAACCTAAATATGGGTCAAGAGAGGAGAATCAGAAGGTCTCATAATATTTGTTCTCTTCTGAAGCAGTTCAAGATGTATCTTCATCACTTACCCATCTCAATATTAGCGTTAGTTCTCCAAAATTTACAATTCCCCAAGAGGTCTATCCAAAAGATTCTCTAGATCCGTCCCTTTTTTTAAAAAAAAAACATGGTTTGCTAAAGAAAAACAAATCTCCAGTTGGTACTCACCGCAATCTCTGTGACTAAAATATCAGTAATACTTCCCAAAACTGTGACAAAATCAAAAATGTTCCAGGCATCACGAAAATAATTCTGTAAGAGACAAAGGAAGATTCTTCAGATCCCATTCAAAGTAGTAGAGTAGAGTAGAGTAGAATAGATAGAATACAGTAGAGTGTAGAGTAAAAAATAGAATAGAGTACAGTAGATAATGGAGTAGAGTAATGGATAATGGAATAGAGAATAGAATAGAATAGAATAGAATAGAATAGAATAGAATAGAATAGAATAGAATAGAATAGAATAGAATAGAATAGAATACAGAGTAGAGAATATAATAGAGAATTAAATAGAGAATAGAGGAGAGGAGAATAGAATACAGAATACAGAATAGGAATAGAATAATTTGGAAATGAATAGGGAAAGTGAGAACTTCAATTTAAAAGGGAGAACTTGTCTCTGTCCGTGATGACATCAAGCTCGTACCAATGCACCAAAGGCGATGATCTTCAAGATACATTCCAGTGAAAACATGGAGGTGAAGACAATATTGAGGCATTTCAGCATATCTTCATAGGGTTCGGGGGCACCATAGAACTAAATTAAAGAAGGGGGAGTGGAAGAAAAGTCAAGTTGCAGCAAGCAGAAAAGTAAGTCAAGAGTCCTCATGAACTACCCCGGATGTTGCTAACCTTCATCATAAGCACGATGGTATTCAGCGCAATCAGGACCATGATAAAGTACTCAAAAGGAAGAGACACCACAAATCTCCACATCCTGTACTGGAATGACTGTTTGTTTTGGGGCATGTAGCGGGTTAAAGGCTTGGCACTAATGGCAAAATCTATGCAGGCTCTCTGCAAGGGAAGAAAAACAGCAAGACGAAGAGAAAAAGTCACAAGAGCACAACCTTACTTCTCCCTCCTCCTCCTCCTCCTCCGGAATGGTCTCCTTCCAGGCCATCAGCTCTCTGCACTTGCAATTACAGCAAATAGCTAGTTACACATTTCATATCACGATCCGATCAGCCTTGAGAGGTTAGCTGATCTCTACAGCTGGACCAAGAGCACGGGTGAAGCAAAAAATATCCTGGAAACTGGGTGAGATTCTCTTCCCCAAAATGGTCTGAAACCTTTTACCGCTCATTGTTCAACTCAACTGCATAATCCTAGCGAATCAGAGCAAGTACCTCATTTTTCTCCAGGCTGCATTCAGACATCACTTTGTCACCCTGTTCTTGGAAGGTGATGATGATCAAAGCTACAAAGATATTCACAAAGAAAAATGGGAAGACGACAAAATAGACCACGTAAAAGATCGACATCTCCATCCGGTAGCCAGGACTTGG